ACTTCACACATAAAGTAAAGCAACTCTATGGGGTGGGAGGAAGCAGCGCTATTTTCAAAGTTGGGCTCATCTCAACATTTTTTGTTTGTTAACTCTGGGCTGGTGTACCTGAGAGGCCCATATCAGCCCCCTTTCAAGGAAATGAAACAGCCAGACCTAGTTAGAGGTGAGAAAGAACAGGGGATTCACATGATGCAAGTAGTCAATATGCACGTTGCAGTCATTCATTTGAGACTATCTAGTAAAGTTGCATTTGGTATGGGATTAGGAGTAAAAGCAGCTGAAAGGTAATTCCTACTTATCTGGCTATCTGCAGTATCACTGTTGGAAGCATTTTGTGTATGTTGAAAAGTGGGGTTAGGGCAAATATTTGGCACAAGGGTGCTTAACTGTGCTTCCCTGCGCATATTAAAACAAGTAGAATATATTTCATTTTTAAAACCCTCTTTCATCCCATAGAATTGAGGCAGGCAAACACACCACAAGTAGACTGTTCCTTCCTTGGTTTTGTTACCCTGCCTCCCTCTTCCAAGAATCACATCGCTCAAGGCAAATGGAAGCTAGATGAGGTCCGCTGGGCCTCTTTTCCTTCTCCCAGCTGTTTGCAACATGAAGATTTGGTACCATGGTAATGTTGGCAGTATTTTTTTTCTGCTGGAGTTGTTGGGAATGTAGTTTCCCTAGTCCGTGACCAGGTCAAGGGAAGTAATAGTACCACACTATTCTGCCTTGGTCAGACCAACACCTGAAATACTGTGTCCAGTTCTGGGCGATGCGGGTGGCACTGTGGGTTAAACCACAGAACCTAGGACTTGCTGATCAGAAGGTTGGCGGTTCGAATCCCCGCAACAGGGTGAGCTCCCGTTGCTCGGTCCCTGCTCCTGCCAACCTAGCAGTTCGAAAGCACGTCAAAGTGCAAGTAGATAAATAGGTACTGCTCCGGCAGGAAGGTAAACGGCGTTTCCATGTGCTGCTCTGGTTCGCCAGAAGCGGCTTAGTCATGCTGGCCACATGACCCGGAAGCTGTACGCCGGCTCCCTCGGCCAATAAAGCAAGATGAGCGCCGCAACTCCAGAGTCGGTCACGACTGGACCTAATGGTCAAGGGTCCCTTTACCTTTAACTTATTCTGCCTTGGTCAGACCACACCTGAAATACTGTGTCCAGTTCTGGGTGCCACAATTTAAGAAAAATATTGACAAGCTGGAAAGTGTACTGAGGAGGGCAACAAAGATGATGAAGGGGTCTGGAAACAAAGCCTTATGAGGAGCGGATAAGGGAGTTGGGTATGTTCAGCCTGGGAAAGAGGAGACTGAGAGGAAGTATGATAGCCATTTTCAAATATCTAAAGGGCTGTCACATGGAGGATGAAGCAAGCTTGTTTTCTCCTGCTCTGGAGAGAAGGACCCAAACCAATGAATTCACGTTCCAAGAAAGGAGATTCAAACTAAACATCCTTCTTCTAGTAAGAGCTGTTAAACAGTGGAACAAACTCCCTTGGGAGGTGGGGGTCTCCTTCCTTGGAGGTTTTTAAGCAGAGGTTGGATGGCCATGTGTCATGGATGCTTTAGCTGTGATTCCTGCATTGCAGGGGTGGTGGTCTATATTACCCTTGGGGTTCTTTCCAACTTTACAATTTTATGATTTTATGCATTTACCTCTCCCACCGTCTTCAGGATGAGAACAATGTGGGAGACAGCAGAGGGGATTGGACTACTGGTCCATTGGAATATGATATTTCCTTTTTGGCCCAATTCCTTTTTGTGGTTAGTACAAAGCTTTTTGCATTTTTGTTGAAAATGCTGTTAAATAATCTGAGTGAGGCAGATTGTAGAGTGCATTGGTTTTGTTGTAGACTGTGAATGAGCTATCTTATTCATGAAACATTGGTTATTGAAATCACCGCCAGCTACAGTGAGGGGGAAAGTATTTGATCCCCTGCTAAATTTGCCCGTTTGCCCTCTGACGAAGAAATGACCAGTCCATAATTTTAATGGTCGGTTTATTGTAGCTGTGAACAGAGAAATCAAGAAGACAAAAGTCAGAGATTGATGTGCATTATAATGAGTGAAATAAGTATTTGATCCCCTATCAACCAGCCAGATGTCAGGCTACCTGGTATCTTGAATGTATGTAACGAGCTGAGATTAGAAGCACCTGCTGTAAGGGAGAGGTTTTACCTGTAATCCCAGCTCGTTACAGTACCTGTACAAGAGACACCTGTCGACAGAAGCAATCAATCCAGCAGATTCCAAAGTAGCTACCATGACCAAGACCAAAGAGCTGTCCAAGGATGTCAGGGACAAGATTGTAGACTTGCACAAGGCTGGACTGGGCTACAAGACTATTGCCAAGCAGCTTGGTGAGAAGGTGATAATTCGCAAATGGAAGAAACACAAAATAACTGTCAACCTCCCTTGGTCTGGGGCTCCATGCAAGATTTCATCTCATGGAGTTGCAATCATCATGAGAATGGTGATGAAGCAGTCCAGAACTACATGAAGGGGAATTTGTCAATGATCTCAGGGCAGCTGGGACCATAGTCACCATGAAAACAGTTGGTAACACACTATGCCATGAAGGACTGAGGTTTTGCAGAGCCCGCAAGGTCCCCTTGCTCAAGACAGCACATGTACAGGCCCGTCTGCAGTTTGCCAATGCACATCTGAATGACCCGGAGGAGAACTGGGTGAAAGTGTTGTGGTCAGATGAAACCAAAATCGAGCTCTTTGGCATCAACTCAACTTGCCGTGTTTGGAGGAGGAGGAATGCTGCCTACGACTCCAAGAACACCATCCCCACTATGCTTTGGGGGTGTTTTTCTGCTAAGGGGACAGGACACCTTCACCGCATCGAAGGGACGATGGACAGGACCATGTATCATCAAATCTTGGGTGAGCACCTCCTTCCCTCAGCTAGGGCATTGAAAATGGGTCAAGGATGGGTATTCCAGCATGACAATGACCCAAAACACACGGCCAAGGCAACACAGGAGTGGCTCAAGAAGAAGCACATGAAGGTCCTGGAGTGGCCTAGCCAGTCTCCAGACTTTAATCCCATCGAAAATCTGTGGAAGAGCTGAAGGTTCGAGTAGCTACACATCAGCCTCAAAGTCTTACTGACTTGGAGAGGATCTGCAAAGAGGAGTGGGACAAAATACCTCCTGAGATGTGTGCAAATCTGGTGGCCACCTACAAGAAACGTCTGACCTCTGTAATTGCCAACAAGGGTTTTGCAACCAAGTAATAAGTCATCTTTTGCAAAGGGATCAAATACTTATTTCACTCATTATAACACACATCAACCTCTGACTTTTGTCTTCTGGGTTTCCAGGGGTTTTCCTGTTGTTATTCTGTCTCTCACAGCTACAATAAACCCATCATTAAAATTGTGGACTGGTCATTTACTCGTCAGAGGGCAAACGGGCAAATTTAGCAGAGGATCAAATACTTTCCCCCCTCACTGTATTCCTATGTTCTGCCTTGCAACTTCCACACTAACTCATTCCCTGGTCAGCTCTGAAAAGCAACTCCTTCCATTAATGTGCTTTTTATTGACTGTATGCAAATCTGCTGTACTACACTTATATTTAGCACTTAGCCGTTTGTTTAACTCCCAACATTTCTGAAATCTGGTAGAATCCCATCCTCCTGAATATGCCAGTTTCCAACACCCTTTATCTATAGGAATGGGGATGGGGGGGGTGGAGACTGAAAACATACAGCAATCTTGTATATAAGAATTCATGTTTCTACAAGGACCATATAGTGACATTAGGGAGGGAAAATGGGTGATGAATTTAGCCTAGGCTCAACTTGTTTGTGTGCTATATGCATTAACACATGGGGACAATGGATCAAAATGGAATTCACATGTCAGATTTTTTGAAGTGGCGATTTTGTGATGTAGAGCAGATTTTTAAAATTAGTAGCTCCGCCGGACTCTGTCACACCCCCACCCCCACTTCCCTCATACCCCGTTTAAGGATTTGGATTATAAAAAAAAACCCCAGAGTTAGCACGCTCCATAGAATCCAGCTCTCACTTCTCCCCCTCCCCCTTCCACTCCTGCAGCGTTCGTACTTTGACTACTTCCTGGTCTCACAGAAAGGGGCAGTGCTGAGTTACAAGGACAAAAATAGACCTTTACAGAGAAATATAGGGATTGTAAGTGTGTGTGTGAGCGAGGGCGCCCCCCCTCTCTGTATGTGTGTGTGTGTGTGTGCGCGCGCGCGCGCGCGTGCGTGTGGCGCTGAGAGAAAGCCAGCATTAGGTTTCCAGGAGGAGCCCTTTTCTTTTTCACTGTGTGTTAGGGTTTTTTTTTTTTTGTACAGATTTTTGTTCTGTTTTAAAAAACACTTACCTCTCCCGGAAGCTTCTCTGCATCCCTTTGGGGGAGGAAAAAGAAACCAACTGTGATCAGAAACGACCAGAAACCATTTTATTTGAACAACTGGTGGGGAAGAAAAGAGGAGCGATACCATCACAGGGATATAAATATCATCCGTTAAAATTTATTTCTTTGCACTATTTATTTATAATCCTGTTCAGTCTGACATCCACCCTAAGCGATAGCAATGGGGTGTTTGGGCAACAGCAAAACGGAGGATCAGCGTATTGATGAGAAAGCACAGCGAGAAGCCAACAAAAAAATAGAGAAGCAGTTGCAGAAAGAGCGACTGGCTTATAAAGCCACACACCGTTTGCTTCTGCTGGGTAAGGAAGAACGGCTTTTTGGTGGGGGAGGGCGATGAGGGTGCAGTGGTGCAGTTCAGTTTCCCAGGGCAGGCAAGCAAACTATACTATTTATGTGCAAGAGAAAATGAGATGGAAAGAATGCAGACCTGCTTTATAAATTCTGTGTGCGTGAAATGCACAAATTGCCCTAGGTATGTATAGAGAAGAGTTGAATGTTTTAGGAAAACAGAGATGCTTCCATTCTATCTTTCCCCATTTTCCCCTCCCCTAAATGTATACATCACACATTTTTCTTCTTTTTCAGGGGCTGGTGAGTCAGGAAAAAGCACTATTGTCAAGCAGATGAGGATCTTGCATGTAAATGGATTTAATTCAGAGTAAGAATTCTTCTTATTTGGAGGGGGGTGGAGAGAAAAAAACCCCACACAAACCCCAACAAGATGCATTTGAAACACATTAAGCCAAACTGGTTAACAGATCTTTCTTATCCTTTGTATGTAGCTTGTTGGTAATTTACCTCCATCAACTTACCCTATTAGCATGGATATTACTGTTCATATATATTAAGAGAGGCATGAATTCCTTATTTTTCCTCTCCTGGTCCTTCTGCTGTATTTTACACTGTTGCTACTGCAGTGTTTAATAGGCCCTTGTGTAGCAACAACATGGCGACTACTTCTTACAACAGCAAATAACTAAATATTGCCTGAGTATTAACAATATATTAGGTCGTGTGTGTGTGTAGATGTAGATATAGATATAGATTTGTGTGTGTGTGTCAAGTACATATTTGAACTATCCTCATTTTTAAAGTTAATAAAAAAGAAATCAGTTTAACATTATGGTGTTTTGTTATAAAGTGTCTGTAGACTATTATTTATGTCAGATTTTTCTGAGAATGCCATATTTTGTGATTAGACATTTTCAGAAATGTAGAATTTGAGTCAGTTCATGGTAAAAGTAAGCAGTTTTTTAAAATAATCCCTCCACCCCTTTTTAAAAAATGCTTATACATTGTTATTTGTCATGTGGCAGAAATATAAATAATTTATTTTGATTAAAATTGTACTCTACATTTTCCACTATGAAATATTAGGGATAAAAACAGCTATTAAAATTTGAACTTCAGCATCTCAGTAGCAGGTGAACACTCACAACAACTTGGCTAAATTGATTTGTGTTTGATTTCATACAGAGAAAAGAAACAGAAAATTCTGGATATTCGGAAAAATGTAAAAGATGCAATTGTGGTAAGAAAACATTTTTATTCCTTAAATGTATATACTTAGTGATTAGGATTGTGATTGCAGAGGAAACCCTGTTGTTCAGATAACTCTAAATCACCTAGTAATTCTGTGTGTGATTTATCTCTGTTAATATGTCCTGTTCCTTTGCTTATTCTAGACCATAGTTTCAGCAATGAGCACTTTAATACCTCCAGTTCCACTGGCCAACCAAGAAAACCAATTTCGAGCGGACTACATCAAGAGTATAGCTCCCCTTTCTGACTTTGACTACACACAGGTAAGATTTAAAAGTGCTCTACCCTCTTCCTCCCCCTTGCAATGTTTAAAAAGCATGGAATGACTTGTTTACCATTTGGAAGGCTTACGCTTTGGGATAAATTTATTATTATTGACTTTATCATTGGATAATTTTGTTTGGCACAGTATAAAATGTATAGGGAAAAATACTACCCATAGTGCTGCATTTTCTGTTCATGAGGAAGCGTTATATAATGAAAAGCAGTCAAGGACTATGTGGATTTCAGATTCCTGGATTAACAAATTTTGCAGCACCTTTGTGGTATTGTTTAGTGCAGGAGACCAGATAAAACCAATATGAATAAATAGTGTAATGTTTGCAGATTTGAGACGGATCTGTTTATTATTTTGCTGGTGGTTGTATTTTCCTGGTGGCATGTTTGAGTAATGTTCAGTTAAGGCATATTTGGATAATCATTCTTTTATAGTTAAAATGCTTAGGCTTACATCCTACATCTCCTCTCCCTCTCACCATTGCAGCCACCTATGTCTCCTGAAAGCTGCTAGTAATTCAGGTGCCCCTACTGAACACTGTCAACTTTCCTTCTGTGAACATGCTTAAGCTAGCCTACTTTAGCAGCCTGATTTGGGGTGAGTTCTTCCTCCCCCAGTGGCTCTCTGCACATATTATTCAGGAAAGCCTTCTGACTGTCCAGAGAGGCTTTTATTGGGGGAACAGTTAGCTGCAGGAGGAAAGAGAGGCTGAGAAACTTTCCTATATGAACTTTTCTTAAGCTAACTTATCTTAAGATTCAAACATTTGTTCTTCATGGCTTGTGAATACTGACAGTATCTAGCATTTCTTTTTTTATATGTAAGTAGCTGTATTGCTTAGGGGGGAAATGTTTCATTTTGCTTCTAGTATGACGTTGTCTTCCTGTCGTTCATTGTATCTACTTACAATGGAGCATCTTCTGATTATTCTAAGGAGAGAGGCTTTGGACAGGCAGCTGCTGCCTCATTGCTTGTTTCTAACACTGTGATCCTGTGCATGCCTTCTCAGAAGTAACTCAGTGGGACTTACCCACTGGTAGGGGTTTATAGGATGGGAGCCTGATACTCTGGACTGGTTCATTTTCCATTTTGAACACTTGGGATTTTTATTTTGAGAAGAATGGCTTTGTTGTAGTTATAAATTTGTCTCAAATGCAGTTATCTAGAAAACTACCTACATACAGTTTGTTTGTTTGTTTGTTTGTTTGTTTGTTTGCTCTCATTTGACAGAAATTTTTAAAAAAATTGAGCCTGAAATGTTTAACCAAATTAAATGATGTTGAATTTTATTTCAAAGATGTAAATGTGAAGCGACTGCTTCCTTAACTTTTGCATCCCTTTGTAATGCGTTATAATTACCGGTAATCTAGAGAGATTTTACATGACTCTTGTACAGTGAGGTATTTGTATGTGGTTTCCTTGTAAAGAAAATTACCACATCAGAAGATGACAAGCTTGATCTAGGTCTAAAAGACAGGATGTTGTACAAGTAAAGAATGCAGCTCTCTTCTGTATTCATGAAGGTCATCCTTTCTCCAGTATAAAAATATTTTCAATGATCTGTTTTTAAATCAAGTTGGGCGCTGGATCCTTTCTGGAAGCATGCCAAGCTTGGAAATCAGGGTTGATCTTAAGAGTTTTGTTTTTGGCGCTTTTGGCTTCCTTTGAAAAAGAGCAAAGGCACAAGATGTATCAAATACCTGGAAATGAAATTATTTATGATATGTTTACTTGGGTGTATTCACATGAAATAAATTTGTAAAGGATACAGATTATAGATGAAATCAAGCTTAGGGGGGAAAACAAGTCAGTGTTTTAGCTGCTGTTCTGTGATATTATGCATATTTGGGTATCATTAAGGCCATCTTCTCTTCTTTGCAACTCTGCACATTTTTACAGAACCAAAGTGGTTTATCTCTATAGAACTAGTGATTTTTTTAAAGTTACATGGTTTTAAAAATGTTTGAATTTCTTGTCTGTCTTGAGCACTGTGTGAGATGTTCAGTATTCAGGATCTAAGAGCACAGGGTTGCAGTGGCAGAACTATTCTAATAGTGTGAAGTGGAATTCCACCCATAGGGTAGTATTCAACTAAATTTTACTCTGAGGAGACGTACTGAAATTAATGGGCCTAACTTAGGCACATTTAATGGGTCTGCTCTGAGTAAAACTTAGTTGAATACCACCTACACTCTTGTAAGTAGTTCCAAAACGGCACCAAAATGGTTTGAATTTTCTCAAACAAGAGTTCCCTCATGCTACATGGCAAAGAATTTCTGAAAATTATAGATGTGTCAAAAGCAATTTGAAACCAATGGCAAGACTGCTTTTCAAAGGGAGGCGGAAGAATCCCAGTGTGCACTTGGAAGCCACATGGATCCCCTAAAGTAGGTTCTTGGCTACCAAACAACAAATGGCACTTGATTTCTATGGAGGGACTCCAAAGTTGGATGAAAATTGTGTTTTTTGTGACACCAAATTGCTTTGTTTTAAAAATAAAATTAAAAATACATGAAGTGAAATGTCAGGCATCTATCGTTTATTAAATTCCTATAATTTGTATTTAGTAATAGTTGGTAAATGGGATATGGCTGTCCAAAATGAGGAAATGCCTCAGCAAATAATTGCATTTGTTTCCCAAAATTTCTTTCAACTGAAAATAACTCTTGTGTGTTCTTGACTTGAAGTGTACTCTGCAGTGATTTAAACTTGATAAAGTATTTTTCTCTCTCTCCGAAAAAGAAAAACCATATTTAAGATTCTAGCTAGCCTACATTGTAACAGGCGGCGAAGCTTTACTCAGCTTTGATGCATATATTAGGCAGTATCCTCTCACACTGCAACAGATTCGTGGTTTCTCCCCCTCCTCCCATATGTATGAAGCAATTCTCAGTGCAGTTTACAAAACAGAAACATGAAACAGCAGAATGCTTATAACTGAAACAGCGGTAAATAATCCATATCAAAATAAAAATACAATTAACAGTGAAAACTATAACCATAAAATAGAAAGTATAGAAAATAGTTAAAAGCAGACTGAAACGTCCAGGTCTTTTAAGACCTTTTTTAAAAAAATAGTCAGGGAGGGAGCAAAGCTGAGCTTCTATGAATGGGCATTCGATGAGGAATTATTGTGCTGCCTGCATACATATACTTGGGATATGGGGAGGATCAAATCTGGGCACTTGAGTCCATCAGTAACCTCCATACCCATACTAATGAATGATTAGTTCTCATTGAGTTTAGTGTGGCTTACTCTCTGGTAAGCATGCAGCACTGAAATGAGTGAGATTTAATTATAAGTAAATATGCTACAGATTCAGTTACATATAGGGATCATAATTTAAAGCAGACATCGCGCTAAACTATGTCCAACATTTATTGTTGTTATGAAAACAATTATATTACAATATAATTGTTTTCATAACAATTACATTTCTGTTTTAAGCTAAACAAATTCTATTATATTAGTTCTGGCTCTATAACAGAGTTATAATTTTTGTTGCTAGTGTTTGTGAACTTTTCTTAATGTACAGCTAACGATTTATCTGATTTTTTTAGTTCTTTAAGATGTACTTAGTTTGAGGTATGCATTTTCTAGGAGAGTGTTTCCTATTCTATTCTTCTATTACTTTTTATAAAGATGTGTGGTGATATTAAAAGAAATAACAGGTTTATTAACGACATTTGAAAAAATGCAGTTGTAGCATTTTATGTCATTGCTTGGGGATAGATTTTGCATAGATTTTGTAGTGTATTATGGACAAGTTAAGAAATAAATGTTAATTAGATTAGCGCATTTAGATACAGCAGGAAGGTTTAGAGTGGAAGAAGAAGCTCTACTGTTTATCTGGACCTTTGGGATAGAGTGGTGATTGACATTTTTTTAGGCTAACAGAAATTGACCTGTGCCATTTTTAATTCTGTATTGATGGTTGTTTTGCCCTTTGTGTGGCAGAGTGAATATATTAAGGGCATATTATGCTACTAGCTGTGAACTAGTATTATGTCTGTTATGTAAGTTTCAACTTGTTAAAGACGATTAAGCTTAAAATATTTTGACACTGTTTGCAAACATAGTTGGTAGATAATTATCTTTTGATATTGAGGGTATATGTCTAGAAGAAGAAAAACTATTTGTTTGCGCATGCATAAAATAATTATTTTCAGTCTGTAGGGATGTGTACAGCAAGTGCTTGGAAAGTTGAACCACATTTAAGAGATGTTCTTGGTAACATGCATTACAGTACTGTGCATGTTTACTCAAGTAGGTTCCACTGTGTTCAATGAGGTATACTCCCAGGTAACTGCATATAGAATGGTGGCCTGAATTCCTAATCTGCATATAAAATATAAATGTTAATAGGTAAATTTTAGAACCAGTTAAGCATTCTTAAAGTTCTGTTCAGAAATAAATAGTCTCAAGGGGGTGCAACTATTCCTAGGATTGGTTTGTTAACATCTTTTAACTTTCTTTGGAACATACAGAGTGATTTACTGCTTTTGTGAGTGGTACCCTCCCTGTGATTTTTCAGAAAAGTTTAAAATTATGCCTCCATGTTGTCCCTTTTAATGCTAATGAGTAAACGTAACATTCACTGTGAATATCATCTTATTTTTTCACTTTTTGTTTTTATAAAACAGGCCCAGCACCAACAGCCAGCCATTGCCCTTCATGATAGGAGTATCATTTATTTACATACATAGTACATAATGCCTGAGTTTACAAAACTCATATTTATCAAAAATATCAGTAGCAATTTTATCCCCTGTGCTTTTTAACATCCACATGAAACTGCTGACTAGGGTCATCTGTAGTTTATCTGTTGTTAGCAATATGCTGACATTATGCTGATGACACACAGCTCCTTTACATCTGCAGGTGTGGCAGTGGATGTGCTGGACCCTTCTCTTGCCTTAGTAATAGAGCAACAAACTGAAGCACAATCCAGATGAGTTTGAGGCACTGCTAGTGGGCGGTTCCCT